TCTCTCTCTCTCTCTGCTCTCTCTCTCTCTCTTTCTCTCACTCATTTTGTGTTGTTTTGTTTCTTCTTTCTTCTGGTTTCTCCCATAGGTTCTAATTCTTTTTTACAACATGAATAATGTGAAAATAGGTTCAATATGAATGTGTATGTTGAGTGTATATCAATTTGCACACAGTCTTGGGGTGAAGGGAGGGGAGACATAGGGAGAAAATTTGGAACTCCAAATCTTATGGAAGTGACTGTTAAAAACTAAAAATAAATAAATTTGTTTTTAAAAAGTAAACATGAAAGAGGAATCATAAGGGACTCAATAAAGTTAAACTGTTTACATTCTGACATTGGAAGATGATATACATAACTCCTAAGAACTTTATCATTATTAGAAGAGTTAAAAAGCAGTTTATGAAAACAGAAGGCATGGGTGTGAACTGATTATGTTGCAATGATTTTTTAAAAAAGAGGTATGTACTAGAAGAAGGGAGAAAGGAGAGGTAGAATGGGGAAAAATTTTTCATACAAAAGAGATACTCAAGGAAAAGCAGGGGAAAATAAGAGTGGTAGTGGACAATGCTTGAACCTTACTGTTATTGGAATTGGTTCAAAGAGGAATGAATATATATACACTCACTTTTGTATAGAAATATGTTACCCAACAGGGAAATGAGAGGGGTAGAGGATAAGGGAAAGGGGGACGATAAAGAGGAGGACAGATTAAGGGAGGTAGTAGTTACAAGCAAAACAGACTTGTGGGAGGGACAGGATAAAAAGAGAGAAGAAACAAGAAAATGGGATGTGGAGAAAAATACAGTTAGTAATCATAATTGTGAATGTGAATGGGTTGAACTCACCCATAAAACAGAAGGAGAGAGCAGAATGGATTAGAAACCAGAATCTAACAATATGTTGTTTAACAAGAGACACACTTGAAACAGACACACATAGAGTTAAAATAAAGGGCTGGAGCAGAATCTAATATGCTTCAAATGAGCAATAATTAAAAAAACAGACAGGATGGCAATCATGATCTTAGACAAAGCAAAAAACAAAAACTGATTTAATTAAAAGGTATAATCAGGGAAGTTATATTTTGCCGAAAGGTAGCACAGACAATGAAGTAATATTAAAAAATTTTATGGCAAATTTTTTGATAAAGTCCTCATTTCTCAAATATATGCTGAGTATAGAACTGAGTCAAATTTAGTAAAAAAGTAAAAAATCATAAAAACAGCCGTTCCACAATTAATAAATGGTCAAAGGATATAAACATGCGGTTTTCAGAAGAAGAAATCAAAGCTATCTGTAGTCACATAAAAAAAATCTAAATCACTATTAAGTAGAGAAAGGCAAAGTAAAATAACTCTGAGGTACCACTTTATACCTATCAGAAATGACTAATGCTGGAGGGGATGAGGGAAAACAGATACATTAATGAATTCTTGGAAGTTCTGGTCTAATCATCTGGAAAACAGTTTGAAACTAAGCCCCAAAGGCTATAAACTGTGTGTACACTTTGACCTAGCAATACCACTGCTAGGTCTGTATCCCAAAGAGATCAAAGGAAAAGGAAAAAGAAAAGGAGTTATATGTAGCAGCTTTGTGTGTGTGTGTGGTGGCAAAGAATTGGAAATTGAGGAAATTGGGGAATAGCTGAATAAGCTATGGCATATGATTGTAATGGAGTACTACTGTGCTGTGGGAAACGATGAGGGGATGGTTTCAGAAAAACACAGCAAGACCTATATGAACAAATGCAAAGTGAAGTGAAAAGAACAAGGAGATCATTTTGCACAGTAACAGCAATGTTCTAATAATGATCAACTGTGAAAGACTTGGCTATTCTGATCAGTACAACTAGTCAATTCCAAAAGATTCATGATGGAAAAATGCTATCCACATCCAGAGAAAGAACTAATGAACTTAGACTGCAAACTGAAGTATTCTTTTCTTACTTTATTATTTTTGCATTTTTTTGAAATATGGCTAATATGGAAATGTTTTGCATGATTTCACATGTTATAACTGATACCAAATTGTTTGCTTTTGCACTGGGTAGAGAAAGTGGCAGAAAGGAGGAAAAGAATTCAGAACTCAAAAATTTAAAACAAAAGAATATTAAAATTTAATAACAATTTTTAAAAAGTTTTGAGTTGACATTTTCCATTTCTTACATCACCATAATTATTCCAAGTATCCTTCCCTCTACTCCATCCAGAGAGGCATTCCCATATGACATATAGAATTTTTTAGAGGATAAAACTGTGTAGAACTGATCAATATACTGAAAAAGTCTGAAAACATATGCAATGTGTAACACTTATGGACAAAGGGGTAAGTTAGGGGTGTCTTCTCATATCTCTTAATTTGAGTTCTGCTTGATCTTTATAATTTTAGTATATTTGCTTTTGATTTTTAGTGTGTAGTTGTGTTTTTCATTTTTCATTACTGTAGTCACTGTCTTTATCATCTATCTATCTATCTGTATATCTGTCTATATATCATCATTCTCCATGAGTTCATATGGATTGTTCCATGTTTCTCTGTATTCATCAAACACATCACTTCTCACAACATAGCTTATTATATTTCATTATATTTATATTTTACAATTTGTTAAGCCATTACCTAATTTAAAAGCATCTACTTTGTTTCCAGTTCTTAGCTGTCACAAAAAGTTCTGCTATAAATATTTTGGAGTATATGGGAACTTCCTTCTTATCAATGGCTTCCTTAGGGTATAAGCACAGTAATGGAGTATCTGGTTCAAAGGGTATAGGCTTAGTCAGTTTATTTTCATAATTCCAAATTGCTTTCCAAAATGTTCATTCCATTTCAGAGTCCCTCTGACAATGAATTAGTGTGGTTATCCTTCCACAGCCTCACCAAAAGTAACTTTTGCTATTTTTTGTAATATTTGCCAAATTTTAGAGTGTGAGGTAAAATCTCAGGGTTGTTTTGATTTTTCTTTAGTGATCTGGAGTAATTTAGTAATTTTAGTAATTTGGAGTAATTTCTTGTGGTCATGAATATTTTGCCATTCTTCTTTAAGAACTGTTTGTTCATTTACTTTGACCACTTATTGGTGAATGGATATTAGTCATACACGCATACATGCATGTACATGTATGTGTTTACATATGACTAATATACGTGTATGTGTATTACTAATATGGATGGATTGCCTAATATAAATTATATGGGTATACATGCAACAAACACAGGTATGTACATATGACTAACATGCATTGGTTGTTTGATTAGATGCCAAACTCTTACCAAAGAAATTTGATATAAAGATTATTTCCCATTCAATCACTTCCCTTCTTATCCTGGATACATTAATGTTGTTTGTGCAGAAGCTTTTTAGTTTCAAGCTTTTTAGATAATCACACTTTTATCTTTTGTAATTGCCTCTTTTATTTGGTTAAGAATGCATCTTCTGTCTGTATGACAGGTATATGATCTGTTCCTTTTCTATTTTTTTTATAGTATGATCTTTAACATTCAGGTCGTGTACCTAATTAGAACTATTGAGGAATACAGTGGAAGGTGTTAGTCTAAGCTTAATTTCTCCCAGACTGCTTTTAGTTTTACAAGCAATATTTAAATAAAGGGGTTTTTTTCCCAGATAATTTATGTTTTGGACTTTACTAAATGCTGGGTTATTGAATTCTATTGTTTCTGAATCTCCCTTCTTTAATTTGTTCAGGCCTAGTGTACCTCACAGTTTCCCACACACTTGGTGTCCTGTCCTGGGTCCCATTTCCTCTGTTTTTCAGTTCTCTGGTCCAGAGGTGGCAGTTCAAAGCCTGTTTTCCCTGGCATTGCAAGATCACTGCTTTGCAGCATAGGATCTTCTAAGTTAGAGCTTCTGGCACATTTTTGCTTTTGTAGCCAAGCTGGCTTTTGACCCCTGAGCAAACGTCTACAGCCCAGCCTTCATTGCACTGGAAAGAGGAAGTGGGGGCCAGGGCGTTGGGGTGCTGTTTCCTTCAGCATTGGTTGAGTGTTACACCCCCCTCCCCTCCACACACCGCATATACACAAAGTCCTGTACTGTTGTCCTGTCCTGCTCCCTTTTTTCCCTAGTTCTTTGGTTTGATACTAGTAGTTTGGAACTTTGTAGTGCTGATGCTATAGGGTTGTGGCCTCTAAAAGGCTTTTGCTCCTGAGAGGCTAAAATCACCTGCCTGTGCTAGCCAGGGCAAATTTCCATAGCCTAGGGCTGAGGTATCCATGGGTTATCCATCCCTTTAAAAAGGGATGGGAAACTGTTGTAAGGCTTTGTCATGTTCTTCGGTGTGCTAGCATAGACTAATATACTATCAGTAGTGTGAAAGGAAGGGAGGGTTGCTGAGTGAGCTCAGGGTCAGTGAGAATCAGTTCACAGGTTTTGGAGGGGTTTGTTCACCTTATTTTGAATTCTGGGTGTCCTAGACCATGGAGGCAGCTGATCTAGCTTTATCTTTTGTGCAGAGTAAATTGAGGGCACACCCCTAAATGATTTTAAGTTCTGAATCCTAAGACCTGGAATTTTTCATGATCACAAAATTAGTAATTGTCAGAGGATTTGAATTCAAGTCTCTTCTAAGTTCAGTGCTTAAAATGATGGAAGCATTCTTATGTCCCCCATATAATACCTATGCTAAAAAAAACCACACACACATACAACTAAAGTTATCTATTGTCTATCAGAACAGATATTCTGCCTTGGTTCAATAATGCATTAAATAGCTATATTAGTAGACAAAATAAATTATAACCAGTTTTCCAAATGTTAAATTACCCAAGGAATCCAGAAGAGAGTAATACATATGAAAAGTAGAAACTAAATTTTTCATTACTATTTCCAAATTTTAGACTATTTCTTAGAAATTTGGCATGATTATGAACCACTTACCTTCCTATCCATCGTTATTTTCTGAAAGAATTAACTTCTTGAGATCAGGTAAAGGTAATGAATACAGACTAAATGTAACTCTTGCCAATAAATTGTTTTCTTACCTTCCACTGGGTCAATCTGATTGGTCATAGCATATCTAAGCACTTTTTCTTCCTCGTTATATAAGGCAAAAATATGATCCACGTTTAGCTGCTGAGTTCTAGGAACATTCCTGGGATTAGAAGTATGCTTACAGTCCTCGTAAGTAATATTCTGGTATAAATGATAAGAGAATGTTTGGTTGATTTCACCAAATGAAAGATAATATTCTCTGGAGGTTGTAGAAGTCACAGCTGCAAAATAAATGTTAAAATTGTTAATTGAAAAACATTCTTTTAGAAGTAGCTGTTTGAATCTAGTAAAAGTTTTTCTAATTTTTAAGACGTGGTTAGTTTGGAATCCTGCAACCCAGTATAAAGGATACAGAAATTACACCAAATCAGCATCCTGAACATTTTAAAATGTAAAAGAAAGAAAGGGCACTGCACAGAGGACAGTGTTTTGAGATTAACATTTCTCCCAGCATTAAAGAGATTTAAGCAAGTCTGAATAAGTAATGAAGGGAAGAAAAATTATTCTTTTTTGGTTTGAGCAGTGTTTTAGCAAGAACCTATCTCTGAGGAGACAACTCGTGGTTATTTTGCTCTTTATTATGAGGGTTAACCAGTTAGTGACTGATTCATGCCCTCTACCTCTCACTCTCTTCTCTCACAGTAAAGCTAATCTTTTCTACTTGCCAGGAGGAAAGGGCAATAAGAGAAGGTAAAATGTAAACAGAGCTTCCTATTACAGCTCTGGTAAAAACTTTCTATAGTGATTAGATTAAAATAAATTTTCAGTATTAGCTGAGAACTTCATTTATCCTTATATTCAAAAGCCCAAAGCAATATAAAGTTAAGTGATTATATTTTCTATTTAAAATTAGAAGCTCTCAGACAGGGAGCATTATTGTCCTTGAATCACAGCATCTATGATTTTATCTGACATGCAGGATATAATAGCAAAAAACCAAAAGTTATATATACCCAAATCGGAGTAGTGGTAAATCTCCTTGTATGGTGCAATATGGGCTGTAAAATTTGCTGGAATAAAAGGCACCTGCCCTTGAATGTTTGTCTTAACACTTAGGTAGTTTTCTGGATCGAGTCCTTCAGCGATGTGAGTAATATGAACTCTCTCTTCTCCTGGGTAGAAGGTGATGTCCATGTGATTACTGAAGGTAGCACCTTTTAACAGATAGAAGAAAAAAGAGGCAGTAAAAGAGAGAAATAAAATAATTCTTGCTCAGTTCTTTCTTCTTTTCATTTGTTTTATATTACACCAAATCAAATCCTGATAGAGAAATCTAGAAAAATTCATAATTAATTATTTGTTTAGCCCAGCTTGGCATAGGGAAACAGACACTGGGGATGAAATCAAACCAGGAACATGCAGAAGTATTCAAGCAGCCAGGGAGAAGCTGTGCATTAATATGAAGAGAACTCATACACACAATGGTGCCAATAGACCCATACTCAGGCACCAGAATTGAGATAGGTGAGAAGTGGCAACTTTGTCATTCACTACACAATTGTAAGTCACAGATCCAGAGGAACTCAGAAGAGAAGCTGAAGTAGGGGTGGTGCTCCTAAGCATGGGGGTCCTAGGTTGTATATCTAGAAAGCGGGAAGTACAAAAGCCAGTAATAGTGGTGTGACTCAGATCCCAGGTGTCAATTCTAGTCTCTTGCCCAACCTGCAGAAGAATAGCCAGGGAAGAATACCAAATGATAGGGGAGCCTAAAACTCTACTACTATGAAACAATAGTTTTTCAGTGGGATGATGGGAACTAATTCCAGCAGTAGTCTAATATTGCTCAGACCCAAAGTTTAGGAACCAGCAGAGTTCAGAGGAAGGTTATGGGCGTGGGGGGGTAGCAATTAGATTTTGCTCTTGATCACTTGGGACCACTGAAAGCTTGCAGAACCTCATCCTATCCCTGAGATCCTAAAATAACACAACATTCAATACACTAAGAAAGCAACAACATTACAGCCCAGACAAATCCCTCAAGTAAACCCCTTTGACTGAAACCAAACTTCACAGAACAAATACCCTTAATAACAGGGTTTGTTCTGTGAAGTTTGAATTCAGTCAAAGGGCTGCACTTGAGGACCTAGAGGGCTACCTGTAGCCTCAAGGCCACAGGTGTCCCACCCCTAACCCAGACCTTCCCTCTAGCCCAGCTTTAACATCAAGACCAAAGTCAGGAAGTAGGCTGGAAGAATAGGCAAACAAATAAAAAAGAATCTCCTCAAAAACAGCTATTATGTTGACAAGAAAGCTCAAAACAAAAACCCAGAAGAAAAGAATGACTCCAAAACATCTACAAAGTCTCAAAGAAAAACAAAACTGAGCCACAAATTCAACTAGAATGCCTATGACAGATGTAAAAAGAGCTTTAAAACTTAAAGGGGGGGATGAAACAACTTGACAAAATAAATTAGAAAACAAATGAGAGCTATGGAAGAAGGAACTGCAAGTGGAATAAGAGCTTAACACAAAAGGCGTAAAACAATGTCCAAACGACAAACTTCCTGAAAATTAGAATGGACCAAATGAAAGACAATCATTCCATGAGGGAATAATAAATATTAAAACAAAGTCAAAAGACTGAAAAAAATAGGAGAAAATATGAAATATCTGACAGGAAAGACAACTGATCTAGAAAACAGATTGAAGTGAAAAATTTATGAATCATTGGACTATCTGAATGCAATCAGCCCCCCACTCCCCCCAAAAAAGCCTACAATCCTATTTCAAGAAATCTTAAAAGAAAACTTCCCAGATCTCTTAGAACCTGAGGGCAAAGTGGAAATAGAAAGAATCCACTGGTCACATCCTGAAAGAATCCCCAAAGAATCTCCTAGGAACATTATAGTCAAAATCCAGTTTCCAGGTCAGAAAAAAATAATGCAAGCAGTGAAAAAGAAAGAATTCAAGTACTAAGAAACCAAAGTGAGGATCATTCATGATTTAACCCTTGAATTTAACATGATAAAAAATATAGCATAGAGAAAGATTAGTCCCAAGTAAAGCAAACTGTAAGTATGCACATCTGTATTTATGGCTCTTTTTTACTTTTTATAATTTAATATTTTATTTTTCCCCAATTACATGTAATTTTAAAAAATATTTATTTTAAAAAATTTAAGTTTCAAATTCTCTCTTACTCCTCTCCCCCACTCCCATGGAGAAGGCAAGCAATTTGATATAGGTTATACATGTGCAGTCATGCAAAATGTATTTTCACGTTAGTCATGCTGTAAAAGAAAATACAGACCAAAAAAAATATCCCCAAGAAAAGTAAAGAAAAAAGTATGCTTCAACGTGCACTCAGACTCCATCGGTTCATTTTCTGAAGATTTTTTATCATAATTCCTTCAGAATTTTCTTTGATCATTGTATTGCTGAGAATAGCTGAATCATTCACAGTTGATTATCATATAAAATTGTTGTTATTGTATACAATGTTTTCCTGGCTCTGCTCATTTCACTCTGCATCAGTTCATGTAAGTCCAGGGTGTTTTTTGAGAGCATCTTGCTCATCATTTCTCAGAGCACGATTATATTACATCACAACCGTATACAACAACTTGTTCAGCCATTTCCCTGTCGATGGACACTATAGCTCTTTTTGAAGTAGCAAACAATGAGAATCTGATGGAGTACTCAAAATTGTAGAATCATTTAACAACTTATTATATATAACTGTCATGGTATATTTGGAAGAGTATTGAGCTTTTCTCAGAGTAACGAACAACCATGATTCTCGATGATGAAACATGCTACTCACTTAGAGATGAAGAAGGATTTGGGTTTTTTTGAACATGGCCAATGTAGAAAGTTGTTTTGATTGACTACATGTTTGCAATGGGTTTTGCTTCTCTTCTGTTCTCATCTGAGGGAGGTGGTTGGAATAGTAGGATGAGAATTTGGTTTCTGGTTGATTAAAAAAACACAATATTTCTTAAAATATTAGCTTTTGATTCCATAAATTCCAAGTCATTTTTTATGATTTAAAAGCTTGATATCCTCATATCTGTACAGTGGTTTATTTTCCATGTAGAAGACATCTTTCGCAGAAAAAATTCAGTAGAATATATTTTACTTTTCCTCTCTGATTTTCAAATTCTTCCAAAATACAAACATATGGTTCAGTCATTTTTCATTCATGTCTGATTCTTTGTGACTCCATTTGGGATTTTCTTGGCAAAAATATTAGGAAGATTTGTCCTTTCCTTCTCCAGTTCATTTTACAGATGATGAAACTGAAGCAAACAGGGTAAAGTGACTTGCCTTGGATCACAGAGCTTGTAAATGTCTGAAGCCAGATTTGAATGGCCCCACGCAGGCAGGCATCCTCTAGTGGCCTGGCTTTCATATGCTTCAGGGCAGCTCAGGGTGGCTTGGTGTCCTCCAGTGGCTGGACCCCTACCTGCTTCAGCACAGCCCTGGGGAAATGCAGAAAAACTCCACCTGCCCTCAGGACACACCAGAAACCACCACTAGAACTCCATCTCAGCACTGGTAAGCTGCTACACCCCTGCAGCCTCCATCTGCCAGCATCTGAGCCCCCAGCACACAAAAAGCCAGTGACCAGGCCCCTGGCTGCCAGCACAAGAAGCTTGGGACAGTGCCCCCTGTTCTCTAGCAGGAGAGTTCAACTTTAAAAGCCAGTAAATAGGCAAAGATGAGCAAGAAGCAAAAACAAAAAATTACTATGGTGACAGGGAAGATCAAAACACAAACTCAAGAGAGGACAACATTGTCAGTATATTTTCATTTGTGGTACCAAGCCCAAAAATCCTTCTTGGAAGAGCTTAAGAAGAATTTTAAAAGTTCAATAAGAGAGGTAGAAGAAAAATTGAGAAAAGAAATGAGAGGTATGCAAGAGAAAGTCAAGAACTTGGAAAAGGAAGGACAAAAATAAACTGAAGGAAACAATTCCTTAAAAAAAAATTGGCCAAATAGAAAAAAAATCACTGAAAAGAACTCTTTAGAAAGTAGAATTGGAGGGACAGCTAGATGGTGCAGTGGATAGAGCACCAGCCCTGAAGTCAGGAGGACCTGAATTCAAATCCAGTCTCAGACACAACACTTACTAGCTGTGTGACCCTGGGCAAGTCATTTAACCCCAATTGCCTCATGAAAGGAAGAAAGAAAGAAAGAAAGAAAGAAAGAAAGAAAGAAAGAAAGAAAGAAAGAAAGAAAGAAAGAAAGAAAGAAAGAAAGAAAGAAAGAAAGAAAGAAAGAAAGAAAGAAAGAAAGAAGAATTGGCCAAATGGAAAAGGAGGTACAAAAGCTAATGAAGAAAATAATTTCTTAAAAATTAGAAGTGGGGGGTCAGAACAAAGATGGCAGAGTAAAAGCAGTGACTTACTTGAATTCTCCTCTAAAAAATGGCTCTAAACAAATTCTAGAGTAGCAGAACTCACAAAAAAAGTGAAACAAATTTCCAGCCCAAGACAACCTGGATGGTTGACTGGAAAGGTCTACTATGCCAGGCTAGAGAGAAGCACTGTTCAGCATGGGCCACACAGGCAAAAACCAGGCCTCAGTGAACCTGGAGCAGTCCTCATAGGATTGAATCAAGGGGAGCAGTGGTGGTTAACAGATTTCTTAACCCACAAACACCAAAGACAACTTAAGTCAGAAGGAAAGGTCTGTCAGACCTCAGTGAGAGAGGGGCACAGTCTGGTCCCAGTTTTGGCATAGCCAGGGGTGGCTGCTTCGGGTGCTCTTGGCCCACAGAGTGTGAACCAAGTGGCTGATCAGAGGAGGATTGCAGAGATCTCTTTGCTGGTGCTGAGGCAAGATTCCCTTGCTTTGCCCCTGCTTGGACCAAAGCTGAACAGAAAATTTTACTTTCATATACAAGACTCCAGAGAAGCTGAAAAGGTAAACAGGAAAGAGAAATTATAAGGGACTTATTAAAGTTGAACTGTTTACATTTCTACATGGAAAGATGATATTTGTAACTCATGAGACCTTTCTCAGTATTAGGATAGTTGGAGGGAAAAAATTATATGTATAGATAGATAGAGGGCACAGGGTGAGTTAAAGATGAAGGGGTGATATCTAAAAATAAAATTAAGGAGTGAGAGAATTATGCTGTGGGAAGAAGAAAGGGAGAGGTAGAATGGGGTAAATTATCTCACATAAAACAGACAAGAAAAAGCTTTTA